CTTCCCCCAATTCCCCAGTACTGTTCCCATCCTCCCAATTCCCCAATAAAAATCTTAAAAAAAAAAAAAAAGGTGAGTGGGGGGCCGGCCGGGTGGCTCAATTGGTTAAGAGCATGAGCTCTGAGCAACAGGGTCGCAGGTTCAATTCCCACATGGGCCAATGAGTTGAGCCCGAGCTGAGCTGCCAACAGGTGGCAGGGTGGCTCAGCTGGTGAGAGCATGTGCTCCTAACAACAAGGTTGCCAGTTAGGCTCCCACATGGGATGGTGAGCTACGCCCACCCACAACTAAAATTGAACTCAGCACCTTGAGCTAAGCAGCCCCGAGCAGCCAACGGGTGCCAGATGGCAACTGGACTTGGAGCTGAGCTAGCTGCGTCCTCCACAACTAAGAAGGATAACAACTTGGCTGGTCCCCTTCCCCAGTTCCCCAACACTGTTCCCCTTCCCCAATTCCCCAATAAAATCTTTTTAAAAAGTGAGTGGTAGTAATACTGTATCAACCATCATTTTAAGTATGCAGAAAATGCTGAAAATATTTGGATAATTAAAAGTTCTCCAATAGTTTATGTGAAAGCTACAGCCTTTTTCGTAATTACTTTTAAAGTACTGATTTATCATTTACTTTTGACAGCAGAATACACCTTAATCCAGACTACCAATAGGTTTAAATATGCCTGTTCAAGTAATCTCTGTAATAATTGCACTCTAAAGATAACCCAAATAGAACAAAGTTGAAAGACTAACAGGTAAAATTATTATTGGGGAGGTTTTACCATAGAGATCTGTAAAAATTATGGCACTGACTCTTCCTAAAATTATCTAACTGAACTTTTAAAAGAATTTTTAAAAAGGAGCTACACAAGTTAAACAAAAGTAGATACTGAATCATAATTGGCCTTTCAGTTTTACGGAAAATATAAATTCTAAGAAATAAGTTCTATCAGAAAAGCAATATGGGGAAAAAAAGTTTAAATGCCCTTCAAATATTTGAGAAGACCACCGGAACTGTGATAAATTCAATGAAACTAGTTAATTAGAAGTAATTACAATTGCTATTTTAGAAAATTTATACTGAATTTAGATGATCAATTCAACAGTGTAGACGAGGATCTCTCAACCTCAGCACTACTGATATTTTGGACTAGATGATAGATGACTCTTTGTTATGGGGAACTATCTTATTCATTGTAGGGTACTTTGCAGCATCTCTGGCCTGTACCCACTAGGTACAAGTAGCACTCCCCACTGGTTATGAGATCCAAAAATATCTTCAGCCTTTGCTAAATGTCCATTGGGGCAAAATTACTTTGGGTAAGAACCACTGGGGTGCAGCCAGCCTCAGTGCTCATCCTGACAGTCCAGTGAGTTCTGAAAAGCAAATTAACTAGTTACAGAAACATTTCACTGAGTAGAACACATGACTCAGGGTAAAGTTATGACCTGAGTTTTCCACTCTCCTTTTGAAATACCACATTCTCTAAAGGGAAAGAGCAACACACCCAAAATCAGAAGCGTACCATTCTCACGCCTTGTTCTTTCTGGCAGTCTTTAAGGTTCCTAAGACAAGGCCAGAGAAAACACATTATCATATGCCAGGGTAAGTACACTAAGCCCTCAACCAACTCTAGACTACTGGGTGTGGTTCCGTTTTGGTGATGGTGACGAAGTACATTTATATATCTACTCATTTTTGTCTTAAGGTAGGAGTATGATGGTAGATAAACAAATTTTTAAAGCTGTTTTCAGTGAAAATACTACTTAAACCCAACTAAACGGAATATTTGGGAAAATTTACATCCTAATTAAAGGGTTTAAGGGGAAGCTTTTTTTCATCTGTTGTAGAAAATCATTGTACTTCTAGCACAGAATGTTGAAAACCACATTTTGTCAATTAAGAATTTTGCAGTGCTTCACGGATTTATGGAGATCCATTATGACTAAACACTACTGAAGATTCAGAAAGCCAGAGACCTGGCTGAATCCAAAAATGATGCCAGGCTACATACACTACAGGAAAAAACAAATATTTTTAATAGGATGAGTTTAATATTCATCTTATTTGACTCTTCCCTAAAAATGAGACCACCAAAATCAATCTGATTACCTGATCTGATAATCTGATTTAAATTATCCGTGTTCCAGCTAAATAATAAGGCTTTCTCGATTGGCAATATTTGTCTTAGATTCCTTATCATTTCAAGGCAAAAAAAGAGTCAATCTACTCCTCTGTTTACTTGCCTACTATACCAGTAAAGCCTGTTTCCTGATTTATAACATACTTTAGCTGTGAAATATATCTAGCATGTTCTAACAATCAAAATACACTCCAATAAAAGGCTTATTTTAGAAATTTGCACAGGATAGTATCAACTTCTAATACAAATACTGATATCACAAATTACACTTCCTATATAGTAATAAATCAATTCAAATTTGAGAAACCACCTATAGGGAAACTGGATTATCTATTAGTATACAAATTAGATTTGGGTTGTTTTTTTTTACTGTTGCCTGCCCCTCGATTAATTAAATCAAACTGTGAATTAATTAAATCAAACTGTGAATGGGTCGCAAGCATTGGCAGTTTTTAAAAAGCTCCAGGTTATTCTAATGTGCAGCAGTGCTGAGAACTACAGCTATATAGCAACTAAAAGATTTTTTTTTCTTTTCTCCTTTAATATTTTCTTAGAGAATATGTTCCTAAAATCTCAGATAACTTGGGAGAAATGTTTTGAAATTCAGATTAACTTTAAAATGTAGTTGTTATTTGAACAATTTCTCAATATGAAATGAAATACAAGACCACAGAAACTTTAACAGGCACGCCTAGTTATTATAGGTTAATTCTAAACCAGTTCTCAAACAAGTTCACAGAACCTAGGGTTCCCTAAGGTGCTTTATAGGAATCTTAAAAGAATATGGGACCAAAAAACACACATACGTGACCAGTGTTAACAATGACTACCACTGGGGAATTGGGGAGGTAGAGAAGACTTTATATTTGTTGCTTCTTACAATTTTCTATTATTTTATTTTAAATAATTAGTGAGAAAATATCCTTTATTTGGATTTAGAAACATAAAAAAATACATGTGCTGTGCCATAGAAAACCAATTTTTAAGAGGCCTAAACAAATCCTATTTAGTAAAAACTAAGAAAATTATGCTAGTACACATCATCACATTTATCCTCTATTTTTCTTAATTTCATGTTTACTCCAATGAGATAGTAAACCGTAGCTAATAAAACAATGTGCTGTACTAGTGTAATGCTTCAATGCGTAGAGATCTTTTCATCCAAACGTTTCCTTTGCAGGTGCTAAAAGCAACAACAGAGATTTCTAGACTACAGTACAAGCTAGTTTCTGTGGGGATTGTAAAAAAAAGCACTAATTTTAACTTCAGTACACTGCAACGCTGAATACTTGTCACGGATTAAAACGACGTAGATTTTGCTTCTTCAACATGTGAAAATCACGTTTTGGGTCCGTTAGTTTTCTCCCTTTCACAAAACAGTCCACCCAATTTCGAATTCCATTTTGAGGCCTGGGATTTACTTACTCTTCTCCAATGTTCTTTTATTTTGCCTTTAGATTTCACAAGTGAAACTTCCGGCAATTTCAACAGCACATTAAACAAAAATAATGCAAGGTAAATAAATGACAGATGAAGTATCCATGGATTTATGGTGACTCTATTTTTATTTCATACTTTTACTATTTTTTTGTCTTCAGGAAAGCAAAGGAACAACGTACTAAAAGAACTTCCTTAAAACTATTTTAGGCCACATTCTTTTATCTCCTTTATGGCGATGAAGCGTGGGTTAAAATTCAACTTTCCTAATACTTCTTGCAGTGTCTCAAGGTCGTTAGGATAAAAATAAAGCTTCCAACTCTAAGGCGCTTCGCAGCCCTCCAAGCTCTTCTTAAAAAGCCTGAATAATAAAGCCTCTGCATTCCCGCTCCCTCTGTCCGTTAACAAGGCCAGGGCCACCCGGACCAAGGTTCCCGGCCCGCGAGCGTGAAAAGGGCTGGGGCAGGGAGTGGGCAACAGTCCCGGGGCGCAGGGCTCAGCCCAGGGCGGGGCCAGCGCAGACGAAGCCTCTGGACACCGCCCCCGGGACCACCGGCCCTCGGGGCCGCCTCAGAGGGCACGGGGACGCCAAACCCGCAGCAACAGCCCAGAGGATCACTGGTGGCAACCCCCGGGCAGAGGGCCCAACCCTCGAAGGCGGCCGCTCCCAGTTAGGGGCCGACCAAGGTGCCGCCCGCGCCCGACCCGGCCCCGCGAGCAGCTCCCGGCCCAGAATTCGCGGGCTGAGGGACCCCAGTGAGGGGCGTGCGGTCCCAGCCCCGGGACGAGGAGGGACGGCGACGCGGGCAGGCGTTCTCCTCCGAACTACAGCAGGAGGGGCGGCGGGGGTGGTCATGGAGCGGGCCCGAGGGAAATTAGGCTCCTCACCTGCTCCTCCCGAGGCAGCCGCTACCGCTCGCTGAGGGGACAACATGGAGCCTCCGCCTTCAGCAGAAGCAGCAGGGGCTTAGAGAGGGGCGGGCTGGGACGCGAACGAACCAGGCCCAGGAGGCGGGAAACGGGCGGGGCCTGGGCTCTAGAAGAAACTGGGGAGGAGGGACGTGGGACATGCGGAGCCGCCGGGGAGCCAGCCAGGGCGAGTGGGTGAAGCCCGACGGGAGGCCCCAAGCGCGCTGAGCGCTGGGCGGGCGGGAGCGGGAAAGCGCTCGCGGACAAATCCCGCCACCGCCCGACGCATGTGCGCGTGCGTGGGAGCGCCAAGCGCGCCGCCGGCTACCTGGTGCTGTGCGCTTAAGGCGACAGTCCATTGGGAATTGTAGTCCTACGCTCTCTGGGTCCCCGCCAGCGGTCCCGGTTCTGCGCACTCATCCCCGGCGGAGAGGAAGCGGAAAATAGGGTTTGGGATTCTCTCGGCTCTTCGACAACTGAACTACAACTCCCAGCAGGCCGGGAGGAGAGGGGAGGGGAGGGGCCGGCCCTGGCCGGAGCCCTCCAGAGAGCCACACCCGGCTTCTGGCCTTGTGACTAGGTCCGGGGCAGAGCCCTGCGGATCACTGGCTTCGAATCCTTACGCTGCGTTAGAAAAGGTTTCGGGATTTAACTCTGGCGGGGGCCGTAGGTAGACGGCACTCTGCCCAAAGGACTGGAGGAAGCCCTCAACCCTGGCTGACGTGAGCGGCACTGTTTTTTTAATGATTTTGACTTCACAAGGAAAGGAGGCCGTGACTTCATTACCACCGTCGTGCAGCTTCACCCCATGTTCCCGTCCCTGGCGAAGCCTGATGGTGCACCGTCACCACTGTGATAGCTAATGTAAGGACTTCCAGTGAAACCCCTTCCACAAGCTTTGTCCAGCCTAAGCCATGGCCATCATTTGTAAACCTCAGGTCTACAAGTTTTTTTGAAGCTGCTTTTGCAAGCACATTCTTGCTTAAACTGTATGGTAGATCAATGCAAAACAAGATTCTCCGAAAACGCTTTTATTCACACCTCACATGTGATTGAGAAAATGTCAGTTGCCACAATTGAATAATGTTATTTTGGATTTGCTGGGGTCAGGGTGGTTCTCTTGGGGTAAGTAGCTGGTGGACCTTAATGGGGGTCTAAAGCATCCATCGCATCACCACCACCACCACCTCTTGGCATCACCATTGCCTCGTTCATTTGACAGATTATTCTTTTTTTTTTTCCTGTCTCTGTCCGAACTGTTACAACCTCTCCAACTCCTCCTTCCAGCTACTTCTAGGTTTTTAACAGCTAGTGATTAGGTCAGATGAAGAGGTAAAGATAATTCTACCTAATCTTACCTAAAATGATCCTGTTTTGATTTATTTTCCCCTGCTCCTTCTGGTTCGCCCCAAATTTTCAAGATTATTGGACTACCCTCCTCCAGGTTTTAGATTTAAGAGTCTAGATTAGGTTTAGACCAACTGGGGCCAGCAAGAAACTGGATATAAACATCAGGGCAAGTGGTTCCTGGGGCTTCACACTGGGTGTGCAGAATGCAGGACTTACATACAGGATGTGACACAAATCCAGGGCATTATGTGGCAGGCTCAGAAAGACAGAGGGGCTAAAGGCCAATGACTTGTCATAATTGCAACACACAGTGTAAGAATTTAAAATTGCACACACACCCCAGCATTCTCTACTCCCTTCCCTGTTTCCATAAGACTTCTTACCATCTGACATGTTTTTATCTCTTCCCACTAGAATGTAAGTTCCATACAGACAGGAATTTTTGTCTGTTTTTGTTAACTGCTATATCCCCAGTGCCTCAAACAGTGCCAGGCAGATAGTTAAAACTCAAATATTTATTGAATGGGTGAATAAAGAAGGTACGTGTTACACCTAACACTGCTCACTCACTTTCTTGTTCTGTTAATATTACGTACCTACTTTTGCTTTTGAACAAAATACCCTGTTCTATTTTAAGGGCTACCAACAGAGAACCACTGAAATCCTGTCAGGAAGTGACCAGCAAATACTGACATTGTATCTGTCTCAATATGACATTATTAAGGTCAGTGTTAGACATCAGCCTTCTCTATACCTTGCAGAAGTTTAGGGCATTTGGAACAACACAATATACAAGTTATAGGTAGACTTTAGGATTAGTCACAACTTAAAAGCAACCCTTGCAAACGAGAAACATGTTTTGTTATTGTTGCTGTTTCCTTCTCAACTATCCAGGGTCATCAAAACTGTACATTCAAAATGCTATATATGGATGATACTGATTACAGCCTGCCTTCAGCCATCTCATTCTGAATTAAGCTATGTGCTATGACCAGAGACTGACTTCTCTTGTGGTTTTCCACAAGTGAAGTAAGTGACATGTAGACATATTTGAATGGTTAAGACCATTGGCTTTCGGGTCAGACTGACCTGGCTTTGAATTCTGGCTCTGATGCTCACTAGCTGTACAACCTTGGGTGAGTTACTTAACTTCTTTGAACTCATTTCATCATTATCTGTCAAATGATTTCAATACTCAGCTCACAGAGTTGTAGGTTAAATGAGACGTAAGTATTTGGCAATTATGACTGATGGCATAGTTAGTCCTCAAAGTTGGTAATTATCATATTCACTCTGGAAAAGCAAAACAAAGTAATAAATGTTCAAGATACGCAAGTATTTTTATGAAGCACAAAAATAGCAAAATTGTTTTCTGCAGTGACATCCACTGTGACTCAGGTTCCAAAGCTTTCAAAAATAGGGCATTTGTTAGGTGCCAAGAACGGTGTTAGGCTGTAATTCTGAAACAATGCATAAGACACATTCCTGTCCTCCCAAGACTCACAGTCTTGTGGGGTAAATAGCCAAGTAAATAATCACTTACTGTGACTGTGCCGGGACACAGTTCAGTCTTCTCTCCTACCCCCTACTTGCAGGATCCATGTTTAAGCGACGGTCTGACCACTTAGAAGGGACAGAGACTGTTGGCATCCCTGGGTGTCATTTAAATATTTGTACCTTACTTTGCTCATGTGTAAAATGAGGTAATGATTTGGTGTCCTAGTTTATAAAAAGAAAATAGTCAATCCCAACTCACAGGGTTTTATAAAGCTGAGTATCAGGCCATCAACATGGTAACACATGGTAACACAGTAAAAGTTCAAGACCTGTCAGCTCAGCCAACAGCACAGCTGTCTAACACTTCAAAAAGACATTAGGAAAGATCACTAAAATTTACTGTTAAGGAAAGGAAGCAAGATACCTAACAGTGTCTATAATTTGTATTAGAAAGTGGATTATCGATAGGCCGGCTGAGTGGCTCAGCTGGTTAAGAGCTCGCTTGGGAGCACCAGCTCTGAGCAGCAGGGCTGCGGTTTGGATCCCACATTGAGGGCCAGTGATGCTTGCTGTCTACAGCTAAGATGATGAACAACAGCTCAACCTGGAGCTCGGCTGCTGTGAGTTGCTGGCAAGGGCGTAGGCTGCAGCGGGGCTGCAGTGGGCTGCCGTGAGCTACGTAATTGGCTGGCAGCCAGCGTGAGCTGCCAGCAGCCGGTGTGAGCTACCGGGAGCCACTGTGAACGGCTGACCAATGACCGTTGACCGATTGCCTCACCCGGGAAGAGCACAATGATCATACCAACATGGGCCAGTGAAGCGACGTCCTCCACAACTAGACTGAAGAACAAAACAGCAATTTGTCTGCCTGTCTGTTCCCCTTCCCCGATTCCCCAACGCTGTTCCCCTCCCCCCAATTCCCCAACTTAAAAAAATTAAAAAACAAAACAAAACAAGTGTGGATGAGGATATAGATTTGCTATATTCGCCTTTGCATTTGCCAATAAAAGCTCTTAACAGTAGTTACTTATGTGTATGTAGGGCGGGGGGGCAGGGAGGAAGACCAGTGGGTGGAGAGGGGTTAATGATAGAAGGAAACTTTATAGTATACTGTATATACTTTTGGAAAAGAATATATGTATATATATGAACATATATGATGTGAATATATTCCAAAAATGTTTAAAATAATTTTTTTCTAAAAGAAAAACTGGGGAAATGAGATGGCCTAGAAGCTGAGGTGGGAAATGAACTGTGTAAATACCAGTCCCATAAGGACAGGGCCAGAAAAAGAGGCCCAGCTCAGTGCCTCAGCAGTAAAAATTGCTCAACAACTGAAAAATGGCTGCGCACTAGTGAGCACTTTAAAAATCCCATGGGGGGCCAGCCAAGTGGCACGTTGGTTAAGTTGGCTTGAGACACCAGCTCTGAGCAGCAGGGCCCCAGTTTGGATCCCACATGAGGGCCAGTGACGCTGCGCCCTCTACAGCTAAGATGGTGAACAACAGCTCAACCTGGAGCTGGGCTGCTGTGAGTCACCAGCGACTGCGTAGGCTGCAGTGGGCTGCCATGGCTACCGTGAGTGGCTGGCAGCCAGCGTGAGTGGCCGGCAGCTGGAGTGAGCTGCCATAAGCCGCCGTGAGCAGCAGTCCAATGGCTGGAGAGCGATTGCCTCACCTGGAAAGAGCGCAATGATCACAATACCAACATGGGCCAGTGAAGCGATGTCCTCCACAACTAGACTGAAGAACAAAAAAGGACAGCAACTTGTCTGTTCCTCTCCACCAATTACCCTATAAAATCTTTAAAAAAAATAAAATCCCATGGGGACCCTTCCCTGCCTGAAAACTTGCACTGGATCCCCACTAGGCTTAAGACAAAGCCTCGGTTCTTTAGTTCTGTATTACTGCTTCTCCACACTCTGGCCCCAAGACGTCTTCCCCATTTTATCTCTCTCTTGTCCCAATTCAACCCCTTGGCTGTAGCCAACCTGGGCTAACCACATCCAAAACACCTTATACACAATCACATTTTTGAGCCTGCAGCCACCACCGATGGCGTAGGTGTTACACTAAGGCAGCCTGTGCAGGGGATGGGTCAAATCTGCACCATTCTGGTAGACACACCAGCACTGACCTACATCATGGGGTGGGCTGGGCTTGGGAGGAAGGAGTGTTTTTTTGTGATTGGTCTGCCCAGGAGATCTTACTGTACACTTGCACAAAAGCCACTACATTTGCTTCACACCACTCTCCCCTGCCTTCAATGACCTCCTTACCACTCCAAACTCCTATCTGACTTTGGACTTCATAAAACCTCCCCAAGCTACCATAACTCCATAGTGAGTCCCTCCCCTCTTAAACTCATACAATTCACTTGCCATCTAATTATAGTATTATAGTTTTGTGTTGTTTGGGGTTGTTTTTGGTTGCTTTTTAATTTGTATTTTTTACCTTTATGTATTTTCTAAACCCCAACTAGCTTGTAAGCTCATTGAAGATAGGATAAACACATTTTTTGGATCCCTCCAGATTTCCTAGGATAGTGTCACACACACAGCAGGTGATCAGTAAACATTTGTGCAACAAATCATATATACAAACATCCCAGGCAAGAGTCAGTCTCATGGGAATTTACTGGTACAGCAAGAGAGAGTAGGAAGAAACAGCAGCTTCAGGAATTGGACCTAGCACAAAGGTCTCATGTAAAAAATCTGAAGGGTCTGAAAAGACCACCAAGACCATATCTGTGTCTTGCTTTTTAGCTTCTTTTGTCCGTTTCCAGGTATCAGGCAAACAGGTTTCCTTTTCAGCCAGTCTCCAGATTCTAGCATCGTTCATTTCCTTATTCAGCACCTACTAACGTAAAAAAATTTTAATTTATGCATTTATCAGAATGGGGAGATAACTGGCTTGGCTATCTGATTGGCTTGTATTTCCCTTTGTCATCTAAAGGACAGACTGTCGCATTATCAACTGGTGCTGTAAGTGCCAGAGTAAGATATTTGCCACAAAGTTATTGTGGGAAATATTCTCCTGTGCCTTTTTTCAGAGTGTTGCAATAGCCAGGAGTTTTTTCCTCTCTAGGCTTTACCTGACCTTAAAAACTGTCAAGGGCAGATGTAGTTCACTATCTATTCTGGAAGATTTCCACTGGTCAGATCGCTTTTCGTTTCCGTGGCTGCCTGGCTGAGTACTTCACCCTTCATGAGGCAGCATCTTTACAGGATCTACTGATCCTGCAGTTGCCCTTCAGGTCGATTGCTGGTTTGGCAATAATAAGGCCTACAGCCTTGATTTTTATTATTTCCAGTCTACGTTCCCCTTTTAAAAATAATTATACACAAAACGTAGGGAGAAGGCTTTGAATTTTGCAAACCAACTCAACCAAGCCAAAAAATGAACAAAATCTAGTATAAGGTAAATACCTGGTTTCAAATATATTTTCTGCTAAAGACCCTTTTTAGGCTATGAATAAAATTCAACCATTAATTTTGTGTCATAGTCTCAATTTTTAGTACCTCATTTTACCACTCCGCCTAACCGCAGCCAGGATGTTATCTCCTGGCTCTTCTTTTCTCATTAGCTTAAGCATTTCTTTCCTTCAAATATGCCTTCTCTACCTGATAGCATATTGGCAGGAAAGGAGGACCTTAAGACCCACGGTGGACCCCTCTTTGGGAACAGGAATGGCATAAGAACATGAAGCAGGTCATGCGGCTGCATTGCAATGTGACTGGAATGAGTAATAGTTTTTCATTATGTACAGCATCTTTCTCCACCTACCAAATGGGAGACCGTGCCATCTCTGCCTCATGGTGATATTACGACACATCCAGAAAAACTCACAAAGCACCTTACAGAGTGGGTCTACTGCACACTGTGGTTTCCACTTTTTATTGGAGTAACAGGTGGGAACGCATCGGACAACAGACAACGGCTCTGGAATTGATGGGAAAGATATTCTCCACCTAATGGAAGCAAAAAAGAAACGTCTATCATTAAAACATGCAATCTGCCGACCCTAAAATATTCACGTAGAGTCATGAAGAAATACTAACCCACAGGCCTCCCTCCTGGCCGCAGTGATGGGCGGAGCTTATTGCTTGGTTACGCCCCTTGCGTCATGTTTCCCGAGGGGCGCGGCTTGAAGCCAGTTTTGCCCCTCCTCCCTTGCAGGAAAGGAGAAAGAATAGTTCTTGCGCCTGCGTCCTGCATCGCTGGGCGCCTAGAAGCAGCCGCCGCCCGCCCCCGCCGCCCGCTGCCCGCCGGAGGGGCCCTTTGTGCGCCTGCGCGCTCACGCTCCCGCCCTCTGGCTGCGCTCGGTTGAGTCAGTCAGTCTGTCGGAGTCTGTCCTCGGAGCAGGAGGAGCGAAGGGACTTCGGAGTGCCAGCTGCCCGATTATTTTCTTTCCCCTCCCTCTCTCCCGCCCCACATTTCTCTTCACCCCTCTCCCGCCCTCGCTCGCGCAGCTATGGCGGAGCCGTCCGCGGCCACTCAGTCCCCGTCCGTCTCCTCGTCGTCCTCCGGGGCCGAGCCCTCCGCGCCTGGCTGCGGCGGTAGCTCAGGAGCCTGCCCCGCCCTGGGGGCGAAGAGCTGCGGCTCCTCCTGTGCGGGTGAGGCGCGCCGGGGACCCCGCCCTCGGGAGGGGGCGTACGGAGTCAGGGGGAAGGCAGATCACCCTCCCTACCGGAGGCAGCAGCCCCTGGGGACCGGCGTCTGCTAATGGGCTAAGGGGGAGGGGAGTGTAAGGTCGTGCAGGCGGTGAGGAAATAACGGGGTGTGAGGAAAACAGGTTGGGGGCGGGGTAATATTCTAGAGAGTGGGCGTTAACACCAGGACCCGGCAGGTGGGGAAAAATGCCATATCGGAGGAGCAGTCCACTTAACCTTGTGATTTACCGGAGAATTAGAGAGGTTGAGAGGATTAGGGCAGGTTGGTCGGAAGAGAAATTAGTTAAGATTTTGAGGGGATGGTGGTGAAAGGGTTGCATTGCAGGTTTGCAGACAGGTGTTGACATAATCGGACATTCATGGTAGTCTTCCAAAAAAAATTTTTTTGGTTGCCAGTGGGGAAGACGAGGAAGTTAAGTGGGAACATTAGAGCCGTTTTCTATACTGTTTTCACCTGCCTTTCATTTTTTGTGGCTAGACTCCCTAAATTTTTCTGAGGCTCCGAGGTAGGAGGAGGCGTGATGAGAATACCTCGGAAGATTTGGGAGGGAGCTGCCGATGGTCCAAGATGGATCCGTGGCTGCATGTGCATCACAGCCTGCTCTTCCCTGTCGCGGCGTGGGGGTGGGGACATGCAATCAGTCGCTTATATTCGAGAAGATAATAAATAGAGTCAGGCCCATCCATCAACGTATTTTGATTTTATGGTTTCTGTGGGTTGTTTTTGATCGCAGTGTACAACAAAAGGTGTTTACCGCAGAAAAGGGGGAGGGGGAGGAAATTCAGACAAAGCAGGGGCTGCTGGAACCCCCTTCTCCTTCCATCTCTGAAAGACGAGGAGGGAAACTGCAGGCCGCTTTTAGTTTCCATTGTATACGCGTCTGCCTGCTGGTGGGAGCTGGCTGGCAAGCTCCCCTCGGGCAGAGATCTGCAGTGCAGATGCCTTCTCGAGGAAAAAAAATGCACCATGAGCAGGTGGTGGTTCTTAAAGGAACTCAGTCTTCGAAGGAAAAATAAAAGCTTTTTGTCAAAGGAAGGCCCATAAGCTCGGGAGAGTACAGATAATTTTGCTCTTTATTTAGTTAACCTTAAAGGATTTTCAGAGATCTTAAATACTTCATTTTTCTCCTTTGCCAGAGTCTTGGGTTGATCGTTATAAAGAACATAAAATTTCTGGTACTAGCTTGGTAAATGTTCTCTACGGGTTTTTTAAACAGCGGATTTCCCACATAAGAGCTTGTTGGATTTTCCAGTGTGGTTATGGCCATTTCAGTAGAAACAGTAGCAGAGGAAGCTTTGGCAAGGTCAAGATTGCTGTCCAGATAAAGGAATGAGGCAGCAAATTTGGAACCCTTCTTCCCTTTAAACCACCAGCGTTTCTCCTAATTTTTATGTTCTGGGCAAAGGTCCAGGTGAACAGCAGCTTCCCTACAATTTAGCACCTTGCTGTTTGGGTGTTAATCACTTGTCATTGCTTACTGTTCAGTTGTTGGCTCTTTTGTGCGTGTCTTTTGGTTTTTCTTGATTTGAAGTTTTTGATTACCTGAAAAATAAACTACATAGATTCTCTGTCTTAAACTCTTATCCATTGAAAATGTATATTAGTATTGTCTAAAAATCATTAATATAGTTTTGGTGGGCTCAGTGTCATCATTTGCCGCGTCACTACTTGAAGAGTTCAGCTTAAGATACTGTCATGTTTAGTCACCATTTCACTGCAAAAGCTCTTCCTCCTCGCAGAATATTTTCTCCATCTTTCAGAGGAAATGTCTCAGGCTTCTGTACCACAAAAATAAGATGGACTTTGTTATTCCAAATTGAACTCATTTAAAATGGATACTCAAAAAATTTTACCTTGATTGTTTAAAAATCTATGCTTGTTGATGTCAACCTTCACCTTCACGTTGTTTTACTAGCTCTTCTTGGTTTTAAACTTTCAAAAAGCAAAAGAAGAGTAAGTGGTCGCTTGGTGTCCTTCAGGAAAAATTTTGTCTGTCTTGCTTGTCCTGTCTAATATTGAATTTTAAAAATATTAGTTTCTACCTAAAGGTGGAGAATGAGTGGTGACACTCGCTGGTCCAGCGCCTGGGATCCTAGTGCAGCTGGTAGTGTAGTATGCTTGGAGAAGGTCAGGGGGCCAGGAGTGGCTTCCCAGATTTCTGCTTTGAAGGAAACCAAAGATTTCAAGGCAGAAATTTGAGGTTGAGGTAAAAGAGACTTACATATTTAGTGTTCTTTTCAGGATAATAGTTGCCTTTCTTAGACCTCAAGTATAGATAGCTATATGTCTATTGTGTGAACTTTAAAAGTGCTTTAGTAGTTTACTGTTTATAACCTTCAACATTTTATAACTTGCTAGAGACTGTTCTTTATTATTGCTCTGAAAATCATGATGCCAAAATAAAGCTGCATTTCTTGTGTCCATTCATAGAAATTAGCTCAAAAGCAAGAACAGCTTGGACAATTAAAAAAAGTTTTTGCTTTAAATAGTTTTTCCCTCACTCATGAAACTTGGTTGTTCTGTGTACTTTTATGGCAACATTTTCATACTTTGTTCTAACAAGTCAATGAAATGGGAGTACATGATTTGTATTTTCAGTCTTAACCCTTAAGTAAAAAGGAATCTGAATACCTGTTCAACACTGACATTATCTGTATTATTATATATTCGTGTCAAATTATCAGTGACAGTGTAATATGGTGGTAAACACACAGGTTTGAGCCCCAGAGACACCTAGATTTTAATCCGGACTCTCTCTCACTAATTTTATGACCCGTACAGGCAAACCCCGAGCCTCAGCAATGTGACCTAGGCAAATTTACCTTGCACCCTTAAATTCTAACTTTTATTGAATATCAATATCTAATATTTGATACATCTATTTGCAGATTACAAACTTTTGCACATAGATTCAAAATAGCAATTGAATTACAAGTGAGAAATCATAATATTCCTCATAATAAAGGAAGATCTTAAACCTTGATTTTCTAAAAGTGAGTCAGTTTTTTTCAGCTTTTGACCCCTCACATTAATGTATTACAGCTGCCACCCTTTCACTCAGCTGGTCTGTTAAAGAGGTGGTGGTTGGGGGTGGGGAGAGCCAAGGTGTTTCATAAGTGGCTTGGCATGACATCAGTATGCTAAAATATTATCTGCATTCTGACCATAGTACGTGTAGTTATGATACATCATGAAACTCCTGTCAGTGGAAGCAAGAGCACAGGAGGAACCAGCAAGAAGGGTCATGTCAACATAGTTTACAAACTCCTGTTGACTTGGATGGTTTTTATTCCCCAGGAATAAGAAGTTTCTTGTAACACTGTTTTCTTTTAGAGTCAAATTCACAAGTAATTTAACCATTCTGATCAAACAAACCAGTCTACATCTATTTAACAGGCATACCTTAACCTGAAGTTGAAATTTTAAGGGATTGTTTATTAAGTTGCCGCTAAGAGCATCAGTGTTTTTACATTTATTATTTTAGAGATGGCCTGAAAACAAAATAAAACTAATATAATTGCTTTTATTGTATTTTGTGGTAAGGAAATTAAATATTTGTCCTAATGTAGGAGTCACCTGTTTAATCTTGTGCGTGTTTCAAGCACTTGTAAATGAAGTTTGGTAGTGAGGAATTGGTGATTTGTCATTGAAGGGAAAGGGGAAAGTTAAGGTTTCCAGTTTTGTTTGAGCCAAGAGGTGGTTTGTTCTGAAGAAAGGCACTTCTCGTTAGACTAGCTATATCCCTAGAATTTACCGTTTTTTGTAATTCTGAGAATTACAAAGCCTCCAAATAAAAATAAGGGATCAACTGTGCATATTTGTTGTTGTGTACTTAGCTTATAGTTTGTGGTCATCTTTGTTAATGATGAATTTATATTTGTCTGCTAAAATGTACAGACTTGTGAAAAATATATAAATTTTATAGTAAAACTTATTAAATAAAAATTAACAAGTTGATAGTATGTTCATATAATTAACTGATTCAGAAGTTACCCAGGAAACTGACTTGCCTTTTATTCTGTTCGTTCATAATAGCTACTAATTCTAGAATTATTGTGGATCATTGGGTGTGTTATAGATATTCTAGAAAAAGTGTGTATGCTAAATAAGTTTAGCCATAATCAATATTGCTTGTGATTGTATCACTAAAGTCTTTTCCTACATATCTATGACTTACGTAAGACATGTTACTCTGTGATACTGCAATTTCAGAGAGAATCCCTTCAAATACTGCATTTTACATGATTGGGGGGGGGGATTATCAACAGGTAGCCCACATTTATGGTCTTTTTCTCCCTGTAAGCACATCATCACAACCTAACCAGGAGGGGATACATGTGCTTTTTGACATGTTTTCCATTGGCAGCTTGCCCTTGAGGATATATTGAAGGGTAAACTAATACAGAGCTCCTTTTGTCCTGTTTCCTGAAAGCATTTCAGCAGTGAGCATTGTCATCATTTTACGTAGGAGGTAGAAGTATTTAATTTTTATACCTTACATTTGTGTACTGCTGTGTGGTTTAAGTGTGCCTATGCATTAACTTAATTCAGCATGTTTGAGCATACATTAAAGGTTTTTGTTAGGTGCTATGGGAGATAGGAAGGTAATAAAACACAGATCATCCCTCTAAAGGCTATATTCAATAGTAGAAATACTTGTATTATGTTTATCTGTAAGGTAGTCAGGTAATGAAACAAATCTCATTTTACAGATGAGAAATCCGGCTCAGAGAGATTAAGTGATAGACCCAAAGGTTTGTGGCAGGGAAATTGAGGGTAGGATAAAACTAAGGGATTGAGGGCCCAATTCAGTTCCCTTTCAAATATACACACTGCCTCTCTTTAAAATTTGAAACAGCATACAACAGAAATGGTTCAGTCATCCTCTTGAATTCAGTTATCAGTTTAATTTAAAAGCCTAATTTCTGGTCCTACAGATTCTAAGCCAGGTGCCTTTTTGCTCCACTGTTCTACAGAAACTTCTCTTGTCAAGTTCACCAGTTATTTTCCACATTACTAAATCCAGTCATCACTTCTCAGTCTTAAATGCCCTTTCAACAGCTTCTGGTAAAATTGATCACGCCCTCCTCTTGGAAATACCTTTTTCATTTTCTTTCATGATACCACACTCTGACTAGCTGCTCTT